AGTGGAAGAGGGGATCCAAACAATGAGACACCCACCACTTCCATTACTACAAAGCCCTTCAATACAGCAGCCATTTTCTAGAAGCTCAACATTTAAATGTATTCTTTATTTCTATTTCACTTTCAAAGTGAGTGTTTTAGAAATGCAACATCAGTATTTATTACCCCCTCTCGCCCCCAAACCATTCAAATTATTATTTTGAACATGCAATCCTTATATTAGGCTGAAACTAGATCAGAACTAAAACTCAGTTATAATTCCTGTATTCTTCCATTTATAATACGCATAGGATATAGAATGACCTTTTAAATTAAAACTTAAAAAAAAAAAAAAAAACAATCTCCCTCTAATTGAACTAAATACAGTCAATACAAAGATATTAGCAAAATTGCTTTGGAGATTCATACCTTTTCTCTGTTCTAAATAACCTACTGTTTGTATCGTGTACTGATTTATAAATGGAAGGGTCTGACTTTATTATAAACTACTTGTTTCAATCTCGGTCTTGTAATGGGAAAAGCTGCAATGTCTGCGTCCCTTTACAAGAGTCTCAGAAAGATATACAATGCACCTAACATACCAGACCACCTCCTTTTTTTAGAGGTTGCCAAAGATTTGCCTTACAGTATATCAAGGTGCAATCTCCAGGGAAGCAGGGAGTCAATCGCACAAATAGGAAATTCCTCTAGCCTGCCATGTTGCAATGAAGTGACATTTGCATTTTTTGACATTTTTTAAAAATTTCTGTAGATTAAAATGCCAAGGTAATTTTATTATAATAAAATAGCTTGTGTAGCATTATACATGTGTTAAATGATTTATTGTTTTTTTTGTAAAAGTGTAGATTTTCTTTATGACTTATTCAGAATCGTTCTATTTGGGGTGTTGTGCTAAGATGTTATGTTGTATAATGACGTGCATTATAGAAAGGCAGCCAGTTGGAATGACTGCGCTGCCAATGCATCAGAATATACAGAAAAGTCATACATTCACTATTTTCTCTGAGGCAGCACAACAAAGAACATGGTGGTGCTTTACTATGTGTTGTAGGGTGCTGTACTACAAGCGTGTTGCCTTGGTGTATTAGGGTGCCATTGAAAATGAATGGCACACAACGTCATAACGCATGCTGTACCACAACACTGTGCTACTGACTTGTGGAGAAGGGCCCTTATGGATTATATTTGAACTGCAAGAAAGTGTAGATGTTACAGCTGTTTGACAATTGAAATTCTCTCACCAGCTTTTCTGTGAAATCAAAACATCCACTTCTCTGTACACAGTTTTGCAACATTGATATGGGTTAGTAAAACTGTACATACCATTGCAACTAATTAGTGTATCAAAGTGGATTGAACCTTGTTTTTTGGGCTTTCATTTGGTGGTAAATGATGTTGGATATTTCCTGATTTTTTTTTATTATCAAAGAAAAAATTGGCATAAAATAGTAAAAACAAAAAAAAAACACTTTTTTCAAAATGTAGCTGTATATTTCTTGCTATTAACATAACCTATCAATATAAAAGAAATTCTACTGCTCCTGATGATTACAGCAATAGTGAGCATTTTACTTTTTTATATCTTACTTAAAAAATACTGTCACTGATACATCTTTTTTTTTGTACACATTTGCTTTGTTTACATGTTTCTTCTCTAGCTGGAGAAAAAAATGCAAGACGGTGATTACAGTTGGAAGAACAAAAAACCCTCTTTCATTTATTTAATGTACTTGGCTAATTGTCTTGTTCTAGAAATCACAAGAGGTTTAGATAATCTTTTAAAATGTGTTTTGAAATTTACTGAGTAAAGTGACAATTTAAATAGAGTGATATACAGGTGAAACTCAAAAAATTAGAATATCGTGCAAAAGTTCATTTATTTCAGTAATGCAACTTAAAAGGTGAAACTAATCTATAAGATAGACTCATTATATGCAAAGCAAGATAGTTCAAGCCATGATTTGTCATAATTATGATGACGGCTTACAGCTCATGAAAACCCCATATCCACAATCTCAGAAAATTAGAATATTGTGAAAAGGTGCAATATTCTAGGCTCAAAGTGTCCCACTCTAATCAGCTAATTAAGCCATAACATCTGCAAAGGGTTCCTGAGCCTTTAATTGGTCTCTCAGTCTGGTTCAGTAGGAATCACAATCATGGGAAAGACTGGTGACCTGACAGTTGTGCAGAAAACCATCATTGACACCCTCCATAAGGAGGGAAAGCCTCAAGAGGTAATTGCAAAAGAAGTTGGATGTTCCCAAAGTGCTGTATCAAAGCACATTAATAGAAAGTTATGTGGAAGGGAAAAGTGTGGAAGAAAAAGGTGCACAAGCAGCAGGGACGACTGCAGCCTGGAGAGTATTGTCAGGAAAAGGCCATTCAAAAGTGTTGGGGACTTTCACAAGGAGTGGACTGAGGCTGGAGTCAGTGCATCAAGAGCCACCACGCACAGACGGATCCTGGACATGGGCTTCAAATGTCGTATTCCTCTATCAACAAACAACGTCAGAAGCATCTTACCTGGGCTAAAGAAAAACAGACCTTGTCTGTTGCTCAGTGGTCCAAAGTCCTTTTTTCCGATGAGAGCAACTTTTGCATCTCATTTGGAAACCAAGGACCCAGAGTATGGAGGAAGAATGGAGAGGCACACACTGCAAGATGCTTGAAGTCCAGTGTGAAGTTTCCGAAGTCTGTGTTGATTTGGGCAGCCATGTCATCTGCTGGTGTTGGTCCACTGTGCTTCATTAAGTCCAGGGTCAACGCAGCCGTTTACCAGGAGATTTTGGAGCACTTCATGCGTCCTTCCACAGATGAGCTTTATGGGGATGCTGACTTCATTTTCCAGCAGGACCTGGCACCTGCCCACACGGCCAAAAGCACCAAAACCTGGTTCAATGACCGTGGGATTACTGTGCTTGATTGGCCAGCAAACACGCCTGACCTGAACCCCATAGAGAATCTATGGGGCATTGCCAAGAGAAAGATGAGAGACATGAGACCGAACAATGCAGAAGAGCTGAAGGCCGCTATTGAAGCATCTTGGTCTTCCATAACACCTCAGCAGTGCCACAGGCTGATAGCTTCCATGCCACTCCGCATTGAGGCAGTAATTGCTGCAAAGGGGGCCCAAACCAAGTACTGAGTACATATGCATGCTTATACTTTTCAGAGGTCCGATATTGTTCTATGTACAATCCTTGTATTCTAATTTTCTGAGATTGTGGATTTGGGGTTTTCATGAGCTGTAAGCCATAATCATCACAATTATGACAAATCACAGCTTGAACTATCTTGCTTTGCATGTAATGAGTCTCTCTCATATATTAGTTTCACCTTTTAAGTTGCATTACTGAAATAAATGAACTTTTGCACGATATTCTAATTTTTTGAGTTTCACATGTACATATGTATTCCGCTTCCTTGGACGTTTTCAAATTTCAAAGTATTACAGCCTCGAATGAAATAGATGTATTCGGTATTTTTACAATTTGATATATATCACGTTTAATAAAGTGCAAAATATTTTTACCGTGACACAAAAATGAACTAAATTAAAATTATAAGTATCCCTTCCCCCTATTAATATTCAAAGCCATGTAGAAGCACGTTTGGCTGAAAATACAGCTGCAAGTCTTTACAGCTTTACACTTTTTTTGCCTATTTTTTCTTGGCACCATTGCTGTATCTCTCTCTGCTTGGACCACTGGAGAATAGCAATTTTGAAGTCTTTTCCTGGGTTATTAATTAGATTGAGGTCTTGGCTTTGATTGGGTCATTCTTACAAATTCAATTTCTTGGTATTAAAAAACTCCAATGTAGCTTTGGCCATGTGTGTAGAGTTACCATTCATCTGGTTAACCTCTACCCTAGTCAAGGATTCACCCAAAATTTCCTTACATTTGGTTCCATCCATTTTGCCCTCATTGCTGACTCCTTTCCAGGGGAATGGGGAGTCAATTACACAAAAATAAGAAATTAGATTGCTGGGGCAATGAAATTCCTCCAGTCTGCCATATTGCAAAGAAGTGACATTTTAATTTTTTGACAGCTCTAGAAACTTACTGCAGATTGTAAAATAGCTTGTGTAGCATTATAGTATGTTAAATTATACTAACCATTGTATCCTAACTACTCAAACTATCAGATACTGTTAAGCAACCAATATATGCCTAAATATGTGGGCACATTTTTTACTCTGAAACATTTGCTTAATGTAGCTTGTACCTGGAAATCCCATGTGACAGCAGACTGCCAGTGTCTGTTCTTGTTCGTAAGCTTTATAGAGCAAGGTTCACATTTCTTGTAAAAATGCATTATTTACAGACATTGCATTTTCTTATCCCTGAGGTATTAAATAAGCACATATATATTTATCCCTGGACCAACTCTTCATAGTTTCCAGTAATCATACAAACGCCATGGAGTCCCTTTGTGATGAAATACATTAATAAAGGGACAGCCAACCCAAAACTTTTGCATTTGTTAAATACTGGAAATTTAAACCATTCACTTTCTTTTAGCTCTTGCAGGCTGTGGTGGTAAAACTGCTGTGCTTGAGTTCTTAAGTCTGCTCACTTGCAGTGCCCAGGACAAGGGAGTTCTATTCCACCTCTAGGATGTTGATGCATTTATTTCATATTATTGAAGTGTAAAACTGCAAAACGGGCAGGAATTGAGTTTGAAACTATGGCAGGGAGATCCCAGAGAGATATAAAAGCATAGGCAGTATATATGGCTCACACTTGTAAGCACGGTCCAGACAAAGTGAGGGGCAGGAGGGGCATGTTTCCTGGGTGCAGTTTCAATGGTTGGGAGAGAGGGGTGCTGTGGTAAGCTTTGCCTTCTCTGCATTCCTGTATTATCAGCTGATCACCAATCTGGTGTCTTGTGCTGCTGATCTCACTCCTCACAAAGGATGTTGGCAAAGCCAACACCCTCTTCTGCTATTTTGCTGCTGGTCAGCCTACCAGGCATCAAAGCCCACCCCTGTCTCACAGTGGATTGCCTGCTGCAATATCAATCCCTGCACAGTGCTGTTGATTTGCGGGAGAAGGAGATCAACGTTGTATGCAGGGGCGGACTGACCATTTGGAAACTCGGGCTCTGCCCGAGGGCCCGGGGTCAGTAGGGGGCATCATGAGATGCTCCTGGTACCTTTTTCATAGGCTTTTTTGAGTTTGGGCAAGGACACGGGCCCCATGATCCCCTATTGCCCGGGGCCCCATGATTTGTCAGTCCGTCCCTGGTTGTATGTGCACTTAGACATTTAGCTGCTGGGGTCTACTGCTAGCAAGCTTCCTGGTGGAAGTGTACTGACAGCTCTGCAGTTGTCAGTACACTTCAGTTGAGGCAGCTTGCACCAAAGTAGTTTCAAATCAACTGCAAATACTGCTAAGCTGTGCTACCACAGCAGGTGGGAAAGAGGGAGGATTACAGCAGGAAAGTGTTTTTTTTTTTGCTAGCATCTTCTGTGAGAAGCAGGATCAGCAGCATCATATCCTGAAGAGGAACTCTTAGAATCAGGAGTCTAGTGAGCACTGGTGAAGTCCCCTGTTCACAAACACCTCCCTCCATCCCCCTTTTATTCTAGTCCACCTCCTGAAACGTTAAATCCCCTTCTATACCAACTCAGTCACACTATCTCCCACCCACCCCCCTCTTTGGTTAATGTGCCTCTCCACCAACTACTTTACCACCCAGATCACAGCACCTCCAAACTCAAATCCTTTCATCAACTTATACCACCTCCAGTGTTAATTGGGAGTTGTTTTTACACATGGTGCTTTTGACACTTTTTTTATATGAGTGTGTTTCACTTATATCTATATTACACTATAGAATATTGGCATGTGTACAGATACTCGTCTATAGAGTATACACATTTATAAAGGATTTTGCATGCTGCGTGGCACGTGTGTTGTATTATGTAAAAGGTATGACACTATGTCAAGTTTTTTCTTTTTGAGGTGTACTGTCATCAGGATTTGCGGATATTGAGAAGGAGGTTTTGATGAAAGAAGAAAGAAAATTATTATTTACACCTGTGGGGATTATTTTTTTGGATTATTTTTTTGGATTATTTATTATTTTTGTATTTTTTGAATTTTGGATATTTTGGACAATTTTTATGGTTTTATGTTTTTTATGTGGGTTTTATTTTATCTTTTTGTTTATTTGATTGTTATCTATTTGTTTTAGGGAAAAGTTTTATTATTTTGTTTTGTATACCACCTCCATGCCTCAATTCTGCCCACATTTAACCCCCTCCAGAACTTCCCTACCATCTTCTCCTCTCTAATTCATTACACTGCCTTTTTGCCATGCACCCTCTCGCCCCCAGGTCACAGCAACTACCTTCCACCTCAAACACCTACCCTTGCCACGAAATCTCCCCTCCACCACACTCCTGGGGGAAGGAGGGGGGCAGTTTGGCATCTTCGCTCTGGGTGCTGGAAGACCTTGTCCCAGCACTGCTTGGAAGTAGCAGTGTGCAAGTTCTAAGCAAACCTATACAAAGTCACAGATGGCATAGACCACCTGTGTCTATGCCCATTGTTTGGTCCATAAAAATGATTATAATATTGAAGCAATGTGGCATGCGGAAGCCTTTTCTTTCCTGCTCTCATTAATGGCATTGTATTCATTAGCCAGTACCAAAATGAACACTGGTAAGATTGGGGGGGGGGGGGAGTTGCAGCACATTTGCTATCCCCCATAGTACTGGTAACACATACTAATGCAGAGCTTAGGAAGATGGCTATGAGACCTCTGGCACATACCCACAAACCATCAGTGCTCAGCCTCAAGTGACTACTGTTTAAAAACCCTGCTTTAATACAGTAATGCGAAAGAGACTTTAGTCACAGATTTCTTACCATAAGATTACTTTAATACACTTTCTAACAATAATAATAACAAAGTAGTCGGACTCTCTTGCTTCATCACAAGAATGAGTAGCATACAACAGATATGAATTAAGAAGATAAGGAATGCAGGAGCAGATTGGACAAATCTGCTTGCGTAAGTTTAGATAAGTATAACATTTCAGAATTCTCAATTTGCCTAATTTTTTTCAAATAGTGGGGATACATTTATTGTCTTCTGTGCCAAAGCAAATATGAAAGATTTAAATAAATTTCAAATTGCATTTTTTTACTAGTACAAATATGAAATAATTTATATAGGAATTTCTTCTTTATTTTTGTGCACAGACATTACCAAAAGAAAAAGAATAATTGGGGTACAGGAAAGTCCCTATATAATCACAAAGCACAAAATTAAGTCATCGGTTGGCCTGCCCTTCCTTACAAGGTCTTGATTGTTTTGTGTCAACAAACTTCTGCAGGAAAAAAGTCTGTATGGATTATCCCTCCTTTTAGTGAAACGGAAAAAACTATATAGGAAGGGCTGACTCATAGTGATATATGATCTATAGCACAATAGGGCTGCACTTGTAGAGCTTATGGCATAGTAAGACTGACTCCTTCACTGCCAGAATAACCTAAAACACAGCCAAAGCATGGAAATCTGCATTTGAATGTGAAAAGGAATGATACTAAATCCTTCCATTAAAAAAGTTATACTTTGACTACAAAAGGATTATTTCAATAAACACCCATTAATTAGCATGGTGGCAGGCATACAATTGACCTCCACCTGTTAATTCTGTATTTTCAGATTTTATTCCCTTTGGCCTGGCCCTTACTAGCTGTCTGAAAAGTATGAAAGCTCCACTCATTCTAGTTCAAACCCCTCTTTGAGGAATTCTGATGTGTAACCAATTTTCTTAACCCTAATGTAGTGGAACACAGTCGATGCAAACACATTTACTTGGTGCATAACAGTCAATGTGCAACAGTCAACAGTGATAGGGCTTAAGCAGTGTGTCATCCAAAATTACTGTGTGTAGATCAGTAAATACCATTGGTGCCATTAAGCTCGCTGACTCCGTAAAGTGTCATGACATCATGCAAAGCTCCTGCCCGACGCATTTCATCATTTGTCACATGACTTTCTGAAGGGGAAACTATCACTGTTGACTCTTCACGGCACAGTTTCTTAGATTGCAAAGCAATTTATTCAATCAGAGGCTAATTTTACTTGGTGCGGTTGGGCAACTTATACATGCAAGTGCACATTTTGTATAATATTGAGATATTAAAATGTTTTAAACGTTTATGTGGAGTCTTTTGTATATGAGGTGATGTGATGATAGGAGTTGTATTCCAGACAAGGTGTGAACAATAGGAATTCATCAAGGTCATCTTCAGTGTCCGATTTGGGACAAAAAGCACAGTTAGACCAACATAATATTATGTGAGGTCACACTCCTGGAGGTGAGCAGACATCTGGTGGATTATTGCACTTTTATGTTCTGGAGCACTTGGTGTTCATAGAAGGATGGAAGTATTCTAATGAAGATGATTGAACTTTCCTATATATAATTTTTAATTTATTTTGTGATTTCACTTAATATTGTAGCACTGCACTGGTCACTGTGTTTATGAAGGTGAAAAGCTTCTGTGTGCTGCTCCCCCCACAGCCCCTGCCTTATACTCACCTGTGCCCCCTCTCAATACAGCAATATGCATGGGAGCCTCTGCTGTCCCGGGTCTCTCTCTCCTCACTGGTTGAGATGCAGCAGTGAGAGCCATTGGCTCCCTTTGCTGTCAATCACAGCCACTGAGCCAATGAGGAGAGAGCAGGGCCAAGCTACGGCTCTATGTGTCTTATGAACGCATAGAGCAGGGATCGGGAATGAGCACACACCTGTGCCCCCATAGCAAGCTGCTTTCTATTGGGGGCACCAGTCAAGCGGGAGAAGCCAGGAGCTCCAGAGGGGAACCCAAGAAGAGGATCAGGGCTGCTCTGTGCAAAACCATTGCACAGAGCAAGTAAATATAACATGTTTGTTATTTAATCATTAGCCGCCTGGCCAATGGCCGTTTGGCGGCTTCAGATGTGTCTCTTCACTCCGGGTGCACGCCATTTGGTGTGCTCCTGCACATGCGCAGTTTCCGCTAATGCAGAGCGGCGCAGCAGTGCGATCTGTCACCGGCCGTGCACCTCGGACACGGCCGATGACAGATCCGAGTACCGGCTCCCGTTGCTGGTACCATGTGACCTGCTGTGACCAATGACAGTTGTATACAATGGATGGCTTCATTCATGATGCCATCCATTGTATACTAGTGCCTAGCTGTGAATGGTCACAGCTAATCACATGCACATGTCATGTGATTAGCTGTGACCAAATCACAGCTAAGCACAAAAAAAAAAAAAAAAAAAAGCTGAATGAATCGATTTCATTCAGGTAAATGCTTGCTTATAGCAAAGTAATTCTTTGCTATAAGCAAATTGTGTAAAAAAAATAAAAAAAAATACTGATCACTTCCCCAAAGTAGTACAATGTTACTATGGTAACATTGTACTACTTTGGTCATAGTAAAATATGAAAAAAAAATCTTTAAAAAAATGAAAAAAATGTAATAAAAAATTAAATATAATAAAAAAATTTAAAAAAAAAAATATATATATATATTTTTTTTTCATACTGTCACCAGTCAGTGTCCCTGTTAACCGCCATGCCAGTTATATGATGACGCTGTACTGCACTGGTGACAGTATTTAAAAAAAAATTGTGAAAATAATTTTTTTAATTTTTTCATTTTCTGAAAAATTATGACAAAAAAATACAACTTCAAAAAACTCGCCATGCCTCTTATGAAGTACGTCGGACTGTCTACTCTGCAAAAAGGGGTCATTTGTGGGATATCTGTACTGTTCTGACATTCTTGGACCTCAAGAAATTAGATTGGCTGTCAGTACTTCAGGATTGATCAATATTCAGATCTATACCATAGTTTGTGAACTCTATAACCTTCCTACAAACTAAAAAATACATCCTAATTTGGGTTATTTTCACCAGAGACATGTAGCAGAATACATCTCGGCCTAAATTTATGAAGAACAATTATTTATTTGTAAACTTTTATAACAGAAACAAAGAAAAATGTGTGTTTTTTTTTCAAAATTTTTGGTGTTTTTTTTTGTTAATTTAGCAAAAAATAAAAACCCCAGCGATGATTAAATACCACCAAAAGAAAGCTCTAGTTGTGTGAAGAAAATGATAAAATTT